TGTTGTTTTTTATCAGTGATATTTACGTTGAATCTAATATCTTATCTGAAACCTGTCACATAAGAAAAAGACCATTTCCGATCAAATTTGTTTCGATTGTCAGCATCAGTGAGCACGATGATAAAAAGTGAAGTAGCTATTACGCCTATTAGTTAGATACAGTGAAGATGAAAACTCGCGAGCTTCGGCCGACGAAACTAAGTCAAAAAGGTACACGTAGTCCAAAGTTGGATAAGCGGACCGCGAAACAAGAGGTACGGCGTTCGAAAAATACATCGACACAAATCCCGACCCCCGGTAGCCCGCGGGAAAGGGCCAAGAGGTCCGGGATCGAGGCCGTCAAACTACACCTGCAAGCCACCGGAGGCACCGGCAGGACTTCACGTTCAGCCACATCGGTAAAGTACCTCTTAATTCATTGAACTATTCATTAGATTGTTATTATTTTTGCAATAATTTTAAAATTTGCAGTGTTATATAATTTGCGAAATCTAACGTCAGCCTCGTGAAAAGCGTTGCAGTAGTCTGGTCAATGATACCACTGACGTGCTTATTAATACCATCTCACATATGAAGTAAATAAACATAGTTACCGGCCATGACGCTAGCGGCATGTGATGCTTTTATAACATTTACGAGATCGTGACGATTGGAGATTATCATCGACTAGCTTGTCACCTTGGGATAACACAAAATAATATGAAAAATAATGATAATAATTTATAATAATTTCTTATTTAAATCGAACACAAAGCAACAATTCCATAGTTGACATTAACACTTGTATCTCTCACATGACAATCTTTGGATATGATATATAATAACAATAATGGACATTGTTAGAACGCGTGGAATGTTTTTAGGAATTAAAATGCACGCCCGCGTTATGACTTTATATGATAAGAACGCTCCGAGAATTTTTAATTTCATATGCGAATTGAGTAACGTATGCAATGAGCTATTAAATTGTTGATTCACGTGCGTTGAAGCTTGTAATGTTTTTTGCATTATAGCTTAATCTAATCCTATAACTATTCGTTGATTATCAGCTTTTCAAAGCATATATGTACAGACGTAGTTCGATTGTTTGATTACCATAATATCGGTAACCAAGTCTAGTTACAGTTTTAATTGTTACACTTGATATATATTGAATCCTACACTAGCAATGATTTCGCCTCTCTCTTGTACGATATGACTGACGTTACTTTAATCTTGCTTTTTTTTTTGTAAAATAAAAATTATTCGGGTTTTAAAGTTTGCACATCAAAATATTCAATTTACTAACCACGTCGTGACAACCCTAAGTAACTGAACACACGTAAGCACCATAAGTAGTAGAGATATAATTGTTAAACATTTGTTATTACGAATAGAAAATATTGTTTACAACGAAGAGCATGCATCTAATTATGAAAAGAAACAAAATGCATTTTTACTTCCTTGAATATGTTTGTCAAAATCTTCTGTACTTGTATAAAAAGTCTAAATGAAGGAATCATTTTTCGGTGCAGTATTTCTAAAATGGATTATTAATAAACCTCTTAAAGTTGCAATGCTTTAATTTATTCTTCCCACTGACATCATTTTTTACGTTTGATTTTAATTATAGACTGCTAATTATTGAAGACGTATTTTTGTTTATTTCCATGTTTAGTGTTATGAGCTGTATTCATAACTCGTCATATATTAAATGCAAAAGATATCTTATTGCAGTACCTGAAAAACTGACCATCAACATGTCCAAGGTTTGATAAAAAACAGTCTTCGGTTTTTTTTTTTTAATTAATAATTTCCGTCAGGTCTACTCTGATTAAACTCTACAACACTAGTCAATAGTTCATTAGAAAGAAGTCAAACCAGATAAGGTTACTGCAATTCTAAGCTGCATTAGAAATCTAGCTCGTTAACGGAAACACTACTTTCGAATACAACCTTAATACGATGTAATCACAAAACTTGATATTTTAGGGTTAATATAACTTAAGGGCTAATAATGTTATAAAGATAATCTTTCCTGCAAAAAATATACATAGACAATAACCATAATAACTATAATATCTTTTATGTCTAGACGTAATTACTTTACATGTATTTATGTATTACATTTTTGGATTTATACTCGTACTCGTATTTATACTCGAACAAGTTAATGAAGATTTTTTAATGCAAGATTTGGAGTGAAATATGTGAGTTAATTAACCGTTACTTTTAAAAGTATCCATAACTGGTTGGAATAATTAATGATAAGGATTAACAAGTATATCAGATTTTAGCAAGAGATCTTTATTAGAACTTATAATAGACATATTTGTATGGAAAGTGTGATTTACACATTGCAATGGATGCATTGTTCAACCTGTTTTATTCAAGGTAAAACCGTCTGCAAGGTCTTCACAAAAATTATAACAATGAACACTGTCATAGCATCAGTATGTCTCAGATGTTGAGTAACAGTACCCTAAGCTAATTTCAGGATCTCTGCCAACTGATACATTGATTTTATTATTAACTAGCTGTTTCTTGCTACTTTGTGTGTAATAAATTTCCATAATTATTTAAACGCAACTAAGTAGCCAATAAAACCTATTGGAAAATTCTTATCAACAGCTATCGAAATGTTTATTTTCAAGTTTTTTTTTTTATATAAGTGAATATACCCAAATAACCCAGATACAAATCAGATCAACCTTAATCTAAATCTGTCAATTCAAATGTCATTTATGTATATCTGTTTGTCATAATAAACTTCATAGCGGTCATTTACCTAACTCGTGTCTGTTCAATCTGAGGAATCAAAAAGGAAGATTAGAAGCCAATCTTAATTATAACTAAAAATAATAATTTGGAGCCATTAATTAGTTACCCATATTGGAAAGGTAAAAAAACTTTGTTTAAAGAATAGCTTTTATAATTTCCATCCTTTAAGAATAACACGGTGTTTGAGAACTGTTCTAAAAACATGCGCAAACATGTTAATTCGCAACAAAAACAACAAGTCTGCCAATGGTTGAAGTAATTGTTACCAGTTTTAGCAGTTATAAGACGTCAGTATAAAAACTATGAACAAAATGTAAGCCAAAGGTACATTTCTACACGTATTATGAGAAGATGAGACGTTCACATGTAGGTGAGTTGTACGTCTTAATCCCAGATGTTTTAGTCCCCATAAATTTGACCACAAAATATACAGGTATAAGTAATGAAATATCTTATCGATGTAGTATTTTCGTTAACTTAATTTCAACAACTTCAAAAGTTATTTCTTTCACAAAAGTGAACAAAGCTGCAATAAATTTATATTACTACAATCACATTTAATTCAAACCAATTAAATCATTGAAATAAATTATTATCATTATTCAAATCCGAAGACCCGATTATAGGGTATTATTATTCGTAACGAGTAAAAATTAAGTTGCTCATTATCGTGTAACATGCTTTTATCCAAATCAAAGATGTTTTACTATGTTAATTTTAAAGTAAGTCCGATGATAACGTCTTTTTTTTCGTGAACATCAATCAATTTACTTTACTGTTAATTCGTAATTAAACTAACCGATTTAATTATGTTAGTTTACAAATTACCATATCTTTCAGAGTGTCCGTGGCTTAGTGGTTTAAGCACTTGACTTGTAATCCAGAGGTCTTGGGTGCAAATCCCAAGTACCTATGTGATTTTCGAATTTCATGTACATAATTTACTTGACGTATATGCAACCTGCACAAATCGGCGAAGAAATTCAAAGTTGTGTGTGAAGTCGACCAACCCTCAGTGGGCCAGCGTTGCTGACTATGGCCTAGTCACCCTAGAGTAGGCTCCGAGCCCCTCAGTAGGGAAGTATAGAGGAGCTGGTGATGATGATAATATCTTTCATACGTTCTGCTGCCAACTGCGAGTCCATGGCCAACGTTTATTGCCCTTCAAAGATACAGTTCTACCAACGGAAGAAACCCGAGAGAATTTCAGATATACAAGAAAGTAAATTTCACAAAAATAAAGAGTAAACAATTGGCAGTCTCAATTTTCATTTAGATATTTTTATCTGATGGAGATGAAAGAGATTGGAGATATACCATAAACAATCGCATTACAATAAATCATTAAAGTTGACAACCGATCTTATCTGATTGCATCAAATCTAATTTTGGTCGTATTTATAATCGCTTTATAAACATTTGTTTTTCCAACATTTTAATATTTTAACCGAAGATTATAGTCGCAAAGGGTCAAATTCTATCATATCTACCTTAATGGTTTTAAACGTTTAGGGATTTTTGTTGTCTAACAATAATTAATAGAAGCATTCCCACTCAAGTTACTGGTATAGATGACAGTAAACTCTCGTCTTATTTGCCTCCATATTCTGAAAGAATTCAGAATTTTCCTATATCACAATCCCAAGCAAACAGAAACTGTAAATTATGCAAGACATTTTTAATACTCTCGTTTTTATTACACGGCTTACTACATACTTATATCATTTACAATTGTGATAATTATTTATAACTAAACTAGCAAGCTTAGCGTAAAAAAAAAACAAATTTAAAATGGGTATGCAAATATATACAAATGCTCTCCAGAACAGTTATTTCATTTAATATATTGATAATTTATTTATTAACGCAGTGTTCAATAAAAACAAGTTGTGCATCGTGATTCATAGCTGAATTGACTTAAAAAAAATCTTTTAAAATATAAAGTCCGGTGATATAGTAGTTTAGGAGCAATATTGTACCTATAAAAGACATATCGTTGTGTTACGGCGTTATTTAATTAAAATAAAAATTACTTCGCTATGCAACAGCCGTAGTAACCAAATACGTGTATCCTTTTACCGTAACTTTTAATATCCAAGGTGTTCATAAACTACATTACTTAAACATTACATTACATTATTTCACCGGCATCATGTGATTGAAATAAAGTTAAGTGGACCGTGACCTAAGCTCGTGATAAGGAAGTTCATACTCCCGAAATTTTGTACGTGTCTCTGCTGCGTTCCTTAATATGGCGCGCCAGCGTTACAAGAGCCATTCAAACAATAATATTATTTAAATGCAATAAAAACTTCATTCAGTAGTTAACATTAAATATCAATTTTATGTTTTCTATTACAGAAGTCACAGTGAATATTTATGCAATAAAACACTACAGTGAACGAATTGAATATTTTAGTCTACTCAAACAGATATGAGTAAAATATTCAATTGTTTTATTTAAAAAGAAATATCTTTATATGTTGAAGAAAATAAATGTGTTGATAATTTTGCTTTATGTATGTGTGGGTGGTTAACTCAATAATTTTCTTTTTAAATGGACAGGTGCTAAATTTAAAAATAATATATAAAAAATGGAATGTTAAAATTGGAATACCTGAACGAGTTAAAGCATCCA